AGCCTCCCGAGTAGCTGGGATTACAGGCATGTGCCACCACGCCCGGCTAATTTTGTATTTTTAGTAGAGACGGGGTTTCTCCATGTTGGTCAGGCTAGTCTTGAACTCCCTACCTCAGGTGATCCGCCTGCCTCGGCCTCCCAAAGTGCTGGGATTACAGGCACGAGCCACCACGCCTGGTCCGTTACATGTATATATTATGTAATGGTAAGATTTAGGATTCTGGTGTATCCATCACCCAAATAGTGAGCATTGTACCCAATAGGTAATTTTTTAACCCTCTCTTCCCACCCGCTCTACCCCATTTTGGAGTCTCCAGTGTCTATTATTTCCATCTTCATGTGTACCCATTGTTTAACTCCCACTTAATAAGAGCTTATAAGACAGAACATGCTGTATTTGATTTTATGTTTCTGAGTTATTTCACTTAGGATAATAGCCTCTAGCTCTATCCATGTTGCCGCAAAGGACGTAATTTCATTCTTTTTTATGACTATGATGGCTTTTTGTCACTCTAGATTCACTTTATCACCCAGTGAATATGGCTGGCTCAAGTGATCCTCCCACCTCAGTCTCCTAAGTAGCTGGGGCATCAGACGCCTGCCATCACGCCCACCTAATAATTTTTGTATTTTTTGTAGAGATGAGTTTTCGCCATGTTGCCCAGGCTGGTCTCAAACTCCTGGGCTCAAGTGATCCACCAACCTCAGACTCCCAAAGTGCTGGGATTATAAGCATAAGCCACCATACCCAGCCTCTGATGGCTTTTTGGTGTGTACACTTGGCTATGCTGAACTACACTTTGCAATTTATTTAATCAAACACTAATCTATCTAAGTTGCTGTTGTGAAGAGATTTTACAGATGTGATAAAAGTCCCTTTTGTTTGCTGTAAATGTGTTGATAAATAAATAGCCCCTAATCTGTTGACTTTATCCTGGGTAGGCCTGACTTAATAAGGGGAGCCCTTTAAAGGTGGGGGCTTAGGCCTTCCTTAATTAAATTCAGAGATTCCAAACAGCTTATGCCCTTGGGGTTCCAGCCTGTTCATGATTTTTTCTTTACTGCCTGTGGACAACAAGCATTATCCTGTGCTCATGGGTTTCTAACCAGTTTTTTCTGTTTTGTTTTGAGACAGAGTCTTGCTTTGTCACCCAGACTGGAGTGTAGTGATGCAATCCCAGCTCACTGCAACCTCTGCCTTCCAGGTTTAAGCGATTCTCCTGCCTCAGCCTCCTGAGTACCTGGGATTACAGGCACCCACTGCCGCCACCACTACATCCAGCTAATTTTTGTATTTTAGTGGAGGTGGGGTTTCGCCATGTTAGCCAGGCTGGTCTCGAACTCCTGACCTCAAGTGATCCATCTGCCTCGGCCTTCCAAAGTGCTGGGATTACAGGCATGAGCCACTGCTCCCAGCCCTAACTGGCCCTTAATCTCCCCTTCCTGAATGACTGCCTACAGACTTCAGACTTGCTTATCCAGCCCCCAACAAGAACATAAGCCAATTTTTTTTTTTTTTTTTTTTGAGATGGAGTTTCACTCTTGTTGCCCAGGCTGGAGTGCAATGAAGTGCAATGAAGCTAATTCTTTATAATAAATCCCCTACTGGTTCTGTGTTTCAAATTAACTCCTAACTCTGATATACGTTAGAATTCTCTCCTTGCTTGTTGTCTTCTGCTAACTCTAATAGGTCACCAATATTCTCTTGGTTGCAAGTGTCCAAATGTAGGTTATCTCAGGTAAAATCTGGAGGGCCTCCTCAGTACAAATCCCTGATGTGGGAGAGCCTTACATTTTGAGACTTAGAGTCCACAGATTTTTGCTGTTTGGTCTTCTTGCCTAGTAGGCAGCTGTCCTGGGCAGGAACCAACAGTATTCACTTGGCACCAGGAAACTAGGAAATTTTATTTATTTATTTATTGACAGAGTCTCACTCTGTCACCCAGGCTAGAATGTAGTGGCATGATCTTAGCTCACTGCAACCTCCACCTCCCAAGTTGAAGTGATTCTCCTGCCTCAGCCTCCCGAGTAACTGGGATTACAGGCATGCACCACCACGCCCAGCTAATTTTTGTATTCTTAGTAGAGATGGGGTTTCACCATGTTGGCTAGGCTGATCTCAAACTCCTGACCTCAGGTGATCCACCCGCCTTAGCCTCCCAAAGTGCTGGGATTACAGGTGTGAGCTACCATGCCCAGCCGGAAATTTTATTTTAGAGATAAGAAATTTAAGACTCAGAAATTTTGAGTTCTGGTTTGGCCACCAACAAGAGTAATAATTATTGTCTGTCTTAAGAGAAAGTGTTTTGGATGGTAACTGTTGGGATCTTTTGACATGTCTTCACAATCGGTTTGTCTTTTTAATGACTTCATACTTCTAGTGTTTTGATATTTCTCCCAATGCAAGACCACTATGTACTTTAGCCACTGTAACTTTCTGCAATCTGCTCTAAATTGTTCTGATCAAAGTGCCAACTCAACTTTTCCTCCTTCCTCAGAGACAAGTGCTCTAAACCAGTATCATGGCTTTAGTTCCTCTGACAAGGATTCACATAGGGAAAGTGACCACTAAGGCAGAGGTGTCTACTTCAGCAGTGCACAGCAACTCAGCTAATTAGAGGGAATATGAAATAGAACCAGAAGTCTAGTATGCTTAGCTACAAATGTTTCCACCAAAAATACTGGATACAAATGGATTAAAAGTATGCAGTTTGGTGTCTGCTTGAACAATGGGCACATTCAGTGTGGCGAGCTTAAAACCACTATTTTTATCCAAAAGAGGAACTATTTTCCAAGCTAGATCCCAGAATATGAGGCCTGAGACCACCTCATTCCTATGGTTGAGAAAAGTAATACACAATTATGGAGGCTGGCACGTCGGCATGTCCAAAATTTGCAGAGTGGGTAGCAGGCCAGTCCAGAGAAGTGCCAGTATTGCCGTTTAAGTCCAAAGTCTGTCGGCTAAAGAATTCCCTCTTGCTTGGGGGAGGTCAGTCTTTTGTGCTCTTCAGGCTTTCAACTGATTGGACGATGCCCACCCACATTATGGAAGGCAATTTGCTTTCCCCCAAAGTCCACCCTTCCAAATGTAAATCTCATCCAAAAACTCTCACAGAAACATCCAGAATAATGTTTGACCAGCCAAGTTGACACATAAAAGTAACCATAGTTTTTTTTTTTTTTTTAAAGAGGCCAGGTGTGGCAGCTCATACAAGGCCAGGAGTTCGAGACCAGCCTGGCCAACATGGCAAAACCTATCTCTAGTAAAAATACAAAAATTAGCTGGACGTCGTAGCACATACCTATAATCCCAGCTACTCAGAAGGCTGAGGCAGGAGAATCGGTTGAACCCAGGAGGCAGAGGTTGCAGAGGAGGCAGATGCCACCACTGCACTCCAGCCTGGGTGACAGAGCAAGACTCTGTCTCAAAATAATAGAAGACCAAAAAAAAAGAAAAAGAAAAAGAAAACATTAAAAAGCAACAAAAAAAGATTGTTTTAAAGAAAAAAAAGAAAAGTAACCATCAGTCTTATCCCCTGCTTGTCTCCCATATGCACAAAGCTTCTGACTATTTCCAACTACTGGGAATTCTTTGAACACATCATGTTTTCATGTCTCTAGGTTGTCTAATATGCTGTTCCTTCTTTATGGAATATTCTTTTCCTGCTTTTTCACCTGGTTAATACCTGCTCATTATTCAAGGCCCAGATTAAATATCACCTTCTCTCAAAAACTTCCCTAGGCCTACCTCCCAATCCAATCTGAGTTAGATACCTGCACCTGAGTGGGGGATATAACTTTCATTATACCTTTAGTCACAGAATTTACCATATTGAATTACAAATGTTTGTCTTTCTCTTCCACTGAACCTGTGACAGTCTCAACTACAGAGACCACATCTAATATAGTACTCGGCATGAGATGAGAATTCAGTAATTGTCAAATTAAGAATAACCATTTTTTTAATGAAGCAAAATTTAGTACCAACCAAATATAAATAATATAAATAAATGGATTTAAATGGCTAGCAACTCAAATAGGAAGCCTTATCCATTAAAACACTTTAAAGTTCCTAATATTTCAAGAATAAAACATCACAGTATACAGTTTGGCTATTAAGAGAATTTGTGTATTCAGCTTCTCTACCTCTGGCACTATTTCTGCTGCTAGGTCTCCCAAATTTCCTTTAATATTAAATTTTTAGGGGCCGGGCACGGTGGCTCACGCCTGTAATCCCAGCACTTTGGGAGGCCAAGGCTGGCGGATCACGAGGTCAAGAGATCGAGACCATCCTGGCTAGCATGGTGAAACCCCATCTCTACTAAAAATACAAAAATTAGTTGGGCATGATGGCGCGCGCCTGTAGTCCCAGCTACTCGAGAGGCTGAGGCAGGATAATTGCCTGAACCTGGGAGGTGGAGATTACAGTGAGCCGAGATCATGCCACTGACTCCAGCCTTGCAACAGAGCAAGACTCCGTGTCGGAAAAAAAAAAAAAGAAAAGAATTAAATTTTTAGGGCATAACTGCAGCTCTTCCTTAAGTAATTTGTATCTGCTTTAAACCACTAGAAAATTAAACTATTCTCAGTCAGTTCTGAAGGGTGCTGGAAATACATGTGTTTCAGCATCTTCAGGCTGAGTTTCAACTGCTAGTTTCCTGATAGTTTCCCAGTGTATGCCTTACATTTTGGCCCAGTCAAGTGAGTCCCAGCACCAGCAAATCCACAGTGATTCCACATCAGGAGCTTCCCCAGTGGTTCCATATCTGAGCTTGTTCAGAATAAGCTTCTCACCCAAGAGCTTATTCTATTTACCACCATCAGATCTCTAAATAAATAACATTTTGTTTATTCCTATTACAAAAGCAATATGTGTTTACTATAGAACAATTAGAAATGTGAGAAAGCAAAGAAAATAAAAATCACTCATAATCCTACCAGAGACAACTACAGACTCCTCTAGAAAGATTTTTCTTGCAAAAATGATATCAAACATCATATCCTATTTTATAACTTTCCCATTTTACAATGCATTGTAAACATTTTCCATGTCATTAAAAATTACATAATATCACTTTTAATGGCTAGTTAATATGGAGCCAAGAAGGGCTTTGAACACATTAACTTCAGCCCTCCTAATGCTGAAAGGCAAATGGGATGACAAACTACCCTTATGCAGGGCTAGATTCATAGCAATAACAGGAAATGCCACATATGTGAAAATAAACAGATAACAATTTTGAAGTTTTTCCATTGAATGTACATGAAGGAATGTTTTGTCTTGTTTTTTCTTTTCTTTTTTTTTTTTTTGAGACGGAGTCCTGCTTTGTCGCCCAGGCTGGAGTGCAGTGGCCCAATCTCCACTCACTGCAACTTCCACCTCCCAGGTTCAAGCAATTCTCGTGCCTCAGCCTCAGGAGTAGCTGGGACTACAGGTGTGAGCCACCACGCCCAGCGAATTTTTGTATTTTTTGTAGAGACAGGATTTTTGCCATATTGGCCAGGCTGGTCTCAAACTCCCGGCCTCATGCAATCAGTCAGCCTGGGCCTCCCAAAGTGCTGGGATTACATGTGTGAGCCACCACGCCCAGTCAACAAATTTGTTTTCTTTTTTTTTTTGAGACAGAGTCTCACTCTGTCTCCCAGGCTGGAGTGCAGTGGCGCAATCTTGGCTCACTGCAACCTCCACCTCCCAGGTTCAAGCAATTCTCCTGCCTCA